GTGTTACTGAAGTAAATGGTGGATATTGCAGTGAGGTTACATTGGCTGATCGACATAGGCAATCTGAGGGAGAAGGGTTACATTGCATGATAATGAAAACCCACGAAACAATTTCCACTGTAACAACAAAGAACTGAAATTCGCAGAAATCCAGGAAAAGAAAAAAAATAGAAACGCAAGTTCGAAAGCCAATGACTGCACTAATTAGTCGATCCCTGATTCATCAAGGAAGCATTTAGAAATCGGTTCTGGCATTACCCCATAGGTAATCATAAAAAGAAAGAAGACCCATAATAGAAGATAAGTTTATCTCTTATCGAAAGCAAAAAACTTCAAGTCTTTAATCTGAAACAGAAACAAAACGAAATAATTTCAGGCAACAAGAGATAAAAGAATGAAGGAACAAGAAACTTTAATAAGTGGGGAGAATGAGAATCAGATGGAGAAAGAGAAGAAGTACGAAGAAGGTTCCCTTTCTATCGGACTCAAGTCAGCTCGCATCTCAACCAACACTTCTTACCCATCTTTGCCGGCCTCATTGCTTCCCCTTCTTAATTTTTCTTTCTTTCCCTTTCTTTTCTTTTTCTTTCACCCACTCTTCCGTCACCTTATTATTAGTTATTGATATTATTGATTACTGATTATTAATAAATAATTTTTTAAAGGCCAAATACCAATAATTAATATATATTTAAAAAAAGCTAAATCAAACACCAATATTTAATATATATATATATATGTTTTAAAAAAAGTAACTTTGTTACTAAAATATCGTTTATTAATCTCTTATTGATAATGAAGTGTTAATATGAAAGACTAAGTGAACAATCAGAATCTGATTGTTACAAACTGAACAGAAAATTAACAAAATGAATAATCTATAATTGAACTGTGGTTAAACTATCTAGGAAACATGAATATGAACCAAAAACAAAGTTAAATAAAACCCAAGATATGATATTTTAATTTACAAAATATATTCAACTGAACAAAATATCTGATTAACATATCATTTAATTATTATACTTTTTATTTAGTTCAATATATTCAAATCTTAATTAACATATTATTCAAATTCAAAATTAATTATTAATTTTTTCATTTGAGTCTTAAATAAGAATCTTATTTAATTCAATATATTGAAATCCAAATCAAAATATTATCCAAATCTTATTAATTAAATTTATTTCGATGTCATAATATCGTATCATTTTCAAATGAATCAGATATTACAAATTTTTAAAAGTATACTTAATCATTGATTAATAGTCAAAAACATTAATGACGTGAAATATTTTGATATTTGTGTTAAAATGGTCAAAAAAGCGACGTCGGTTTGGACCAAGTATTCTTTCTTTGGCTGTTGTGAGTTAACTTCTCACTCTCCTGGCAATTTCTCTTCAACCGTATTTGAAACCAATTAGATCTCTTCGATACACCGAACAAAATAGAAGTTCAACTAAAAATTCCATAAAAAAAATTGCTCAATATATATAATAAAGTTATATAAAAAAAATTGAAATTGTCAAGAGCTTGCAATGAAGGAACATTCAGACGAGATATAAATAAACTATTTTCATTAAAGTACTAGAAAAGACACAACTTAATTTATACTTATCACACACAAGGACACATTAAAATAGTAAACAGACACTCCAGATAAATTAGGAATATTCTAGAACTAAAATAAGACCCTATATTTTTATAAATAATAATAATAAATAGTTAACTGATACTTAATTGGAGCTAATATTTACTATTTGTTCCTAATAGATAAGTTAATCTATATTTCCTACGAAACCTAAATCTTCACCCAACTCTTGAGCCGAAGGTAAGCTGACGACCGACCCCATCTCCTCATCTTCAATCTTAGTCCATGCCATCTTCTCCTTGCCTATCTGTTTCAATCTGAGGTTAGACCAATCTATTTGGTCTTCGATCTTAGTTGTTGGGTTCTTCTGCTTCGGTGTGTCGGCTAAGATGAGGGCAGACCAATAAATTTGTTCTTCAATATCCGTCGCCGGTGTCTTTGCCTCTGGTATGTCTGGTAGGTTGAGCATAGAGCAGTACAATTCTTCTTTCAGTTCGGCTGATGGTGTCATCTTCTCTGATCTGTCTTCTGTTCTGCTTCTGGTTTCAGTCAAGGCGAGAAAGTATCGAGCGAGGTTGTTGCTTCGTACTGGGAAGATCTTCATGTACGAGGTTGTTAACATGTTGTCTATCAACAATGAATGATTCATACAATCTGGGACTTGAATAGAAAGTGAATTCTTATACATGCATACTGTGTGCAAGAAGAAGCTTATGTTATCCAGATTGTAGCATTCTGAGAGATCCCATTCTATGTCGTGGAAGCCCTTATTCCTAAGAATCCCATAGATGCATCTGAATGCTATATATCGTTGGTCGAACCACTCAGCGCTGCCAACTTCTGTCATTCCTGCTTCTATAATCTTTCTGGTAAGGCTGAGATTTGCCATATTGACTCTTGCTGCTATTTCCAGAGGGCCGCAAATGATTCGAACGAACCTAATTCCACACTTCCTCCAGTTCTCAAGTATATTGTATAATAAGTCCTCTTGAAATGCTGTGAAGAGGGCCATGATCACAGATCGATGACACTAGCGATCACTATTTTTTTGTTGCAAACTAAGCATATCAGAAAGAGGAATGAATAAGTCCTATATAAAGAGATCCGAACATCAAATGTAGTGGGTTATGTATATTGTGGTGTGGCCCGAGAAACTGAGATGTATTTTCTATTTAGTTGATTGGTTGATTACTTTATTGATCTTTTGTTTCATATCTTTTTATTTGTTTATGTTGCACTCAATATCTTTTTCGTGGGCTAATATATGTCATCATATTTGGCAACAGTATTCTGACTATGCCACTAACTATTCTCCTTCTATGTTTATAGTACTTTCTACATTACAAATCATGCCCATACTTTCTCAGTGATTGTACTATCTGTATCCTTACTGACTATGTATGGTATTGCTTGACTTTCATCTCAAGAAGGTTTTTGTGTATGGTATTGCTTAACTTTCGTCTGAAGGAGGTTTTTATCATGTATATTTATTTAGTTGTGTATATGCTTCTCACAGACTTAATCTTTTTCTCACAGACTAAATTTTATACCAAACAATTACAAGATCTTCTGCGAAAGATCTTGACTGAAAAGCAATGGATTGCTTTTGATTGAACTATCTAGATGACTGATGCGAATGTACTTGACAGGTATGTTTATGTTATCTACATTTACATTTGATAATATATATGATCTTAAAATTATCATTTTAGTTTAAATTAACATTATATTTCATATAAATCATTATCATTTTAGTTTAAATGAACATTATGTTTCATATATATGATCTTATGTTTTATTATCCGACATAAATCATTAGTTACTCTTTGTGCTTAGTCTTCAATTCAACAAACTGCTTTAAAGTTGTTTCATTGTATTTATTTAGCTACTCTTTGTGCTTAGTTGTCCTTTACTTTCATATTTGTATCTATTCAGTTCTCAAACTACGCATGCCAACCTATAATAATATCTTTATGGGTTACTTATTTACCATATCAATTGAGTTGACATGCTGCTCATTCCAAGATGAAAGTAGTATTTCAGCTACTGTCAGTGGGAGGTGAGTCTCTGTTCTTTCTGAACCATTTAAAGTTGCATATCTCAACACATCGTCGGTATGGCCTTTTGCTTGTAAAAAAATCTTCTCTCATAGATCTTCACTGATAACCATTTCTGCGTGCTCATTTTTCTGTACAGAGTACGATTGATTTTCTTGGACTGTATAATCCTTGATTAGTCTGCTTCTCATACTCTTCTTTCTTTTTTCTATATATAAAAAAAAGAAAAAGTAAAGTTGAAGTAAAATGTAGAGGATGTAAATGTAGAATCAATTCAATGGGGGAAAAGGTCGTGAGATACTAAGCTTTTTAAACAATCAAACACATGAAGAACAGCTAAGAAAACCATCATTATAGCTGATAGATGTCAGATTTTTGCAATTTGTGAGACAAGTCTCGAATAGTTTTGTGAACTTTTGTAAACATCCTGAGTTAAAATGTAGTGAGTTGAGAATATTGTTGGATGATTTCAGATTGGACTTTGAAGGGATTGTACTGTTTTTTAAAAAAAAATTTTTGACAATAGCAAATATAGATAAAAAACTGCACCCAATAGAGCATAAATTGACAAGGAAACAGAGCAAGACAGGGGACCTTGGTATGACGAGGCAAATCATGAAATATTAAATTCTCTCTCAGTTTTATTTTCACAGGGAAGAGATAAGCTTTGAGCCTCAAAGGTAAAAAAGTTGAACATCATTATTATTATTGTCCGCTACATCATACAAATCTAATACAAAGTTTGAGGCCTTTCTCTTTTTGAGCTACAGATTATATTGTTATTGGACCACACCTCCAAACTGACTATTTGCATTATTCAGCTGTATCATTTATCTCCATTGTACAAACTGCAAAATGATTTCATATAACACATGTATTGAATGACATCCTGCTGAAAAGGAGATGAATGTAGTATTTTAACATGATGTAAGTAGGGACTGTGTCTATTATTTCTGAATCATCATTTCAACCTGCTCATCTAAAGATATCTTTCGTACAGTTTCTTGCTTCTAACAATATCTTGCTTGACATCTAGGTAAGTATAACCTCCTTCTCTACCTATGAATAGCAGTAGAAGTTATTCTGAAACATTTTTTACCATTGAAGTACTTGCAGTTTTTTATTTTTAGTATCATCTTCCCGCTCATATTATCCCGCCAAAAAACATGTATTCTTCATTGAATTTTAGTGGTTTGTTTTCCCGCTTCATTTTTACAATGCTATGCTTGTGTATAAATATAACTTACTTCCTTCATGCATGCTCACCATTGAAACACTTTGAATTTCTATTTTTAAGAGTCTTTCAATCTTCAACCTTTTATTTTCATCACACTTTCTCAGTTTTATTGAAGATGCCACGTATATCACTCCTAAGACATTTGAATGATGGAACCGATAGGTGGCACATAGTTGCAAGAGTTTTCAGGAAATGGAATGTCTTCCATAAGGGATCATCTGCTGATATCTTCTGCGTGACAATGGTTTTATTAGACAAAGAGGTCTCTTTATCTTTACAAATATTAACAAATTGCATATGTCACTCGTGGTTTTTTTTACTAATGCTTTAGTTTAATGGAAATCATTATTTTGTTTACAGGGGGATAAAATACAAGCAAGTGTTCTAACCAAAAGTTTACATGACAAGTTTCGCCACAGTATCATTGAAGGAGAGACTTATTTCTTTGCTAATTTTGAGGTCTCTGCTAATGTTAGCCAATATAGAGCTACCACTCATCCTTTCAAGATCACTATAACTCCACGAACACATGTTGCTGAGAAAATAGCCATTGTGCCATCTTATTCCTACTCTTTCTTTCCACTTGCTGAGATAGAGAAACTCAATGAGAAGCATAATATTGAATACTTGATAGGTATTTGACATCACATCATTTTCATTCATTTTAATAATAGTATTATCATTTATGTTTTAGCATTTGTCAAATCAATTGGCACTCTTGAAGAATATCGGCGGGACAATGAAACCAAGAATAAATTGAGGATGGTGCTGAGTGACATTGAGTACAGAACCTTTCAGTAACTTTTGTTTCGTTTTTTTTCCTTTACTGTGCAACGACTTATGTAGATACTAATGATGATAATTGATAATTCATGTTCATGCATTTCAGCGGAATCAATGTAGAATGTATATTATTTGATGAATGTGCCAGCGATGCTTTCATGTCTCAGCTCCAGAATACACAGACACCTGTTGTGGTGTTGTTAAACCTGGCTAGGGTTGGTTTTTCAGAAGATGGTAAGATATATCATAATCTTTAATGACCTTATATATAGAATACTTTTTGTTCTCAAGATTTATTGGCTGTGACTAATTATTATTTCTTCCATTACCTATCTAAATATAGGAAGAGCACAGGTTTGCAATTCTTTTAATGCCACAAGGGTGTTTTTCAACCCACCCATCAAGGAAGTGCAACTAATGATTGATAGGTTTGCAAAACTAACAAATAAACTCAATCAATTCAATCAAATTGCTCAATTAATCACTTAATTGATTATATAAATTAATTTGTTGGTGCTTATTATATTATAGTTCAAAAGACAATGGCTCTCCAAGTTTGTCCTTCCTTAGCCAGCCCGTACTAACTCCACTGAGTCAACAGTCACGTACTAGCATCAATTGCAACCAAAGCCCGATTGCTATATCAAACATAAAAGATCAACCCATGGTTAGTAAGGTTTATGATAGTTATACTATCTAAATCTAATTTATAATTTATAAATTCAATATTGTATAAGTTATTTTAATCAGTATAACTTTGTACATTTGTATGTCAGGGAGAAACTTTTGTCATTAGGTGCATTATTCAAAAGTTAGAGACCAGATATGGTTGGATCTATCAAGGTTGCTCCAAGTGTGGTACAAAGCTTCGTTTAGAGAATGAGAGTTGGATATGCCCATCATGTCAGAAGAAACCAGAGTTTATTGACCACAAGTATATTTTGCACTGGTTAAAAATGGTAGTTTATGCATTCTTAGATATTTCAGTATATAAACTACCTTATGTATTACTTTGTTTATGTTTTTAGGATGAAGCTTCATTACACTGTGAAAGATGAGACAGGAATTGCTTCAATAATATTCTGGGATAAACTTGCGGTTGAGTTAATTAAAAATTCAGCCGCTGAGTTGAAGGTTATTCTAGATGAGGTATAACAATCCTTATAATTTGATATATGATATGTTTACTAATTTGTTGGTATACTGAAATATAAAATAATGTTGATTGATTTAGCCTCATTAAAATTGAAACCTTATATCTGATTGAAGGATTTGTGATGGATTAGGATCCTGAGGAAGTTGATTTCCCCAAAAATCTGGACAATCCTGTTGGGAAGAGTATGTTGTTGACTCTTAAACTGAATGACTACAATAAACGACATCCAAGTTCCAGTATTAGTGTGATGCAATATCATTTATGTGAAGATTTAATGGATCAATTTACTGAGGCATCCATTGAGGTATTTGTTTAATTTGATTAAATCATTTTTTACATATTGTAAGATATATTCACCATTTAAATGCACTATTCTGTGAGCAGATTGAGGAAATTAAGGACCCTTCAAATTCTGATTTATATGTTTAAATACCATCAATTGTTCTGATATTTATAAATGATGTTGATCATGCTTTATTCAGTATTCACAACCTGCTGTGGAACAAAGTCAGGAACATATGAATGTTACTCAAGGAGTTCCTCTAATTGCGGAAAAAGATTTAGTTTCACAATGTGTTGCTGAAGAGGATGTCACACTTTCAAATATGGTCAACCGTGTTAAAGCTCCTCCAGTTAAAGGGAGAAAAAGAAGCGTCGTGAGGAAGAATGTTGAGGATGCTATTGCTGAGGGTACTAACACTGGATCAAGCTCAAGTAATGAACAGAAGCATGTGAAAACTATCAAGTTGGAGAAGTAGTGTAACAGATAATGGGTGTCTTGTCCAATATTATATGTGTTAAGTGTATTACTTATCCTTTGCAGTTCTTAAAAGTTGTTCGTGTGGCTGTTCTGTCTGTTGTCGGTTGGAAGTTTGTATTTCCTTTTAGTTAGTTCTGTGATGAAGTTGTGTTTGTATCATTTATGTTGTTTACCTTAGTATGTGTCATTATGAACCTTTGTAAGTTTTTATTTAATCAAAGTAGTTTACGTTTGTGTTGTATTTTCATGGTTTAGTTGCTCTCATCTCAAGTTAATGATTCTATTTCGTATCTTTATGAATTATTTGAATCTAGGACGATATATTGGAAATGATTGACTTCATCATATAGGTTATTGTGGGAACAATATTAGTATAAAATACAATTTATACGGGGATTCACTTTAACTTTACTGTTTTCCCATAAAAATTCAGACTAATAGGCTAATTACATTTTTATATTTTAATTTTAGCTTAAAACAATTATTGGGTGGCAAAAAATGATGTTTTATTTTTCTACTTGAAATTTTAAACATTCACTTTATCTTATTTGAATATCCAGATTATAAAAAGTTTGAAGTTATATTGATGACACACACACACATATAAATGTATATTTCAGATCTTGAGGACACATCCTCTTAAACATCAGGATTATATTTAAGGATACGTTATACAGAATCCATTGACAACAAATGTTGAAATGAATTATGCAATTTCTTTTGCTCGCGGAACAAAACTCATATCTTATGAGCTATTTGAAAATAAATACACAAACTTCATATAAAGCTTAAAAACTTATGAAACATATTTTTTGGTATTGTAATAGGATTAAATATTTATTTGTTACTCCTCCGATCTTTAATATAAAACCTATTTAACTAATTTGATTATATTAAGAAAGTTAGATAAATTAGTTAATTATAAAAAATATGACACGTTTATCCTAAATACCATATCATCTTCTTTAAACATAATCCTCGCTCTTGTATTGATTGATATTTGATTATAGTTCAGAGAGTACTCATAGGGATAATTTACAGAAAATATAATAAATATAATAAATATGTGTTATATTTAAGACCAAATTAGTATCTCTAATGAATAATAAAAATGAAATAAAATTTAGATCTTCGTTTTGCTATCAAAGTATCTTTATTCGGTCTGCACAAGCATATAGTATATATAATAATTAGAATTGTTCTATAAGATAATATAATGCTGCAACATTTATTCCACACGGCACGGATACAGCGTCGAAGTGAATACCATGAGTTTTCCACAGTCACTTGCCATCAATTTGCCACAGTTACTTCCCATCAATTTCCCACACATTTGCTATCAATTTCGTACAGTGTTAGTGCTGTTCACTTAGTAATATGTATATGAAAAATTAATATTTAATAAAAGCAATGGCATGGATAGACAGTGAAGTAGCCAATGAGATTGAAGGAGTCGGATTGAAATAAAACTATCCAATGGTTATAAACTAATGTCAAGAAAGTTGTTACTATTCATCAAGATCAACATCGTCTTTTATATATATATATATATATATAAGGACATACACATACCTGTTTCTATTGCATTAAAAACAAAGTTGTTTGCCTCTCATTTTAGATGCTACTATTGCTCGAATATTAGAATAGCTTGTATGTTCTAAACCCATGTCTTCCAGTAATATATTTGAGCGCAAGCTCCATTTGAAATCTACCCACAGATATAGCGGTAAATGCGTAACATCATCTTCACCATCCATGGGCAATGGATCATATGTTAATGGATGCTTTTCGTCAGGTATTATCTTTACACATGAAAAATAAATTCTTATGATAAGGATAATTTTAGACATATGTTCCTATTTCCTGTATTATGTTCTATTTATGACGTCCTAATTTCTATGTTCTTATTAGGATTAATCAATTTAGCTGAAACCCATTGTTCGAGTTCATCTTCTGCTGGAAACAATAAAGAAGACTCACATACTTATATGGGAGTTGAAAAAAATCAGGGTTTTGGCGATGTTTTAGATGATATCAATACTCAATCATCCACTGATGTTCTACACAAAGAAAGAAAAAAACCTATTATGCTGCAAGATATAACAAACGTATCTTCCAATCTAACAGACAGATTTCAAAGGAATATGCTCACAGGTATGTGTTATGTTTCAATATCTATTACCAATAATTCTATTTAATCCTATATTTGTATGACACAGGCATTTGCAACTTTCAATTTGTCAACCATAAAAGACCACATTTTGGAGTGCAACCTCTAACCCGAAAAAGTGCTAGGAATAGAGGTCTGGGAAATAATGATGTCAACAAACCTCCATGTAGAAGAAGAAAGACAAGTAATCTACAGCAAGGTTAGTCAATGAAATTAATTTCAAACAACATAGTTAAGAGTCACATTCGTATCTAATGTATGTAACAGAGCAAGGTATTATTGGTTTGAATATTAACAATTACATAAAGCACATGGGTTTAGATGTAACAGATGTTTATTCTCCAATAAAGTATATTTGATAACAGATAACTTGAATAAATATCATTAACGTACAAATTAATAAATTTCACTAAACTCAACCTCATTTCCTTTAAAGTTTACAAGTTATGTAAAAATCAATTAAAAATATATAAATATTGTTCGGTGATATAAAATTTAAAGTTTCCATTTTTTTATGTAATATTTTAATTTTAATTAAAATCTACAATGGTTTTAAAAATAAATTTCTTTTAAACAATAGAAAACTTTGATTTTTACTTGACTAAAAATTTTTTGCATATCTTTTCATTGATTTTTACACATGTTGTAAATTGTGAAAGAAAGTCCGTTTAATTTAGTGAATTTTATTAATTGATATTAGTTTTAAAAATAAAATGTAGGAGAAAATATAGGAGAAAGTGTAGAACGTTTGGATAAGGACAATATAGTGCTTTTAAATTTATACTTCAATATTTGGTTCTTTTAAATAAATTTAATTGTTATCATCTCTTTCATAAATATCACTCCCTCTTGGTTGTTCTTTTTCATTCTCCCTATAATTAATTCAATTTACAAAAGTGATGATGGGTTTTGTACATACATATAATTTCCTTTTTTCTTGTAGATTTCACACCACAAGAAAATATTACAAGGACATTCATCTGATGATTGATGCTAGCGATAGAGATGATTGTGAAGATTATTTTCCAAACACTGAAAATGTTGCAGGTTACTACGTGTAATTTTGCTGTTATATTTGTTATTATTTCATATTTTCACATATATGTGTGTGTACATGTATGGATTATAGTATATATGATAGTTTTGTTAAATATGACCATATTTTGATACGTGCCACTCAGGTAGTAATTCTGATTTAGATCATAGTACCAGAAGAACATGTTTCCAGAATGATATTAATTATGAAGGTAATCTTATTTCCTTTAAATTTGAATCTTCACGCCATAATTTATTCCTCATATAAAACTAATTCACTTCTTATCTTTTATTAGAATACATTGATGAGGGAGATCCAATACATAAATGCAAATTCTGTGGAGCCCTACTTTGGTATAATGAAAGAGTGAAGAAAGATAATAAAAAAGGGTGGTTAATACATTTTCAATGTGTTGTATGAAAGGCAAAATAGTACTACCCCCTTTGAAGGCACCGCCTGTTCTCTTCCAAGAGTTATTTCTAGAAAAGGATACCGCAGACTCAAAGAATTTTCATACAAATATAAGGCAGTACAATAACATGTCTCTCTTCTCTTCACGTCTATGGGAGGAAAGATTGATCATTCTAAAAATTCCGGTGGAGGTCCTTACTCATTCATATTGTCTGGACAAAATTATCATAATATTGGCAGCTTATTACCAATTGAAGGTTCACAACCAGTGTACTCACAACTATACATATTTGATACTGACAATGAGATCTCAAACAGAGTTGCTGCTGTCAGGTATTACTTGCTACTACATTTTTATTATTTTATCATTTGAATTTTTATTATTCATAAATTAAATTTATGAACTTCATATTTATCTTTTTTCCAGTAAACACCAAAGGGAATCAACAATTGATAGAAGAATTGTTGCACAAATAAAGACTCAATTGGATGAAGTTAATCCATTTGTACAACAATATCGTTTTGCTTCACAATTTTTAAGTACAGAACACCGTCAAAATTTGAGATTATGCTTGATGAGTTCAAGGGCAAATGATGGGCGAACCTACAATCTTCCCTGTGCTTCTGAAGTTGCAGCATTGATTGTCGGTGACATAGATATTATGTTCAATGTCAGGGACATTATCATAGAAGAGCAATCAGGGACACCACAGCGAATTAATGAATTACATCCAGCATATTTACCTCTACAATATCCTCTGCTGTTTCCTTATGGTGAAGATGGATACAGAGATGATATTGAACACAGAGAAGAAACTCTTCCAGTTACAAAGTCAAGAAAAAGGTTAAGCATACGAGAATTTTTCACATACAGACTTATGAGAAGAGAAAACGAGATGTCAATATTGTTACATGCATCAAGATTACTTCAACAATTCATTGTGGATGGTTACACTATGATTGAGTCACAAAGATTGCTTTGGGTTAGAACTCATCAAAAAGAACTTAGAGCTGATTTGTACCAAGGATTATCTGATGCTGTTTTAAGTGGTGAGAGGAA